CCCACATAACGGTATTTTCGAAATATGCAAATTTACGATATTTCCACAAATACTGGATCAAAATTGTTGAAGTTAGGTTTTCGAAGTAGAATTTCGGCATAAAATAAGACAGTTATGAAGTTTTTGGAAAATGGGCGTGGCACCGCCCGCTTATGATAAAATGCTATATCTCTTAAGTCCCCGCACCAATCCCCACCAAACTCGGTACGAGCACATACAGGCAGACGGATAACGGACAGACGAACAGACGGACAGACAGACAGATAGACAGACAAGAATTCAAAAAATTTTTGATTTGGCTATTATTGCTCGAAGGCAGACCCGCCATATTAATTTTTCTTTAATATCTATAATTTACAGACATCGGCCTGTTACCATTTTATTATATGTATAGATTATTTTGTATTTGTATACCATTTTTCCATGCAAAGTGTAGATGAATCCTCCTTCAGTGGGTCCTTCATTACATTCGAGTGCGCCGCGCCCTGGCTTTTGTTGTCCACCCATGAGACGACTTCAATGGCTAACGTGGCTAAAATTTCTCATCTATGTTCAATATCGTCCATATTTCTGGGCCTGGGTTCGACCCCTGGTCCGGGAGAAGCCTTGGCCAGGCACTTGGCCACTAAATTTATATACAGATGAATTAATGTTTCCTGCCCGCATTAGATTTTGTTTTTCGCCCCTAGAGCGTTTTTGACACTAAAGCAATCATGTACTAGATTAGAGGTTAGGGCGGCCTGAGTGTCCAACATAAAGCAGATGTATTTCGAGAGTGTGCGTCTTTTGTAGCACTCTCTGGCGCAGATTACCATTGCCTGAATCTCCGCTTGAAAGATTACAAATTTTTTCAGAATTTTTGAATTTCGGCCCAAATAGGCCAGCCCCAGTTCTTTCCATTTTCCAGCTTAGATCAAACTGTGTAACAAACCTTACCATTAGGTTCAGCGTATAGGTTCGTTGCTTTCCAGAGAGTCGCGTGTATTTTGTTGTTGATTTTGTATGTAAAAAAAAAATAGCGAAAATTCGACATCCGCTCCTCCGCCACATACCTATTCAATATGCCTTGGGCAATTATATCCACGGGAAAGATATTTAACAGCAAATAGTATCCATCACCATAACCTAGTTACGTGACTATTTCTGAAATGGTACAACTGCTCGCAGGGTAATAGCAAAAATTTCAAATTTTCATTCATACTATGTACATTAGGATGCGGTTTTTCCACCGAAATTATAAAATTTATTCTGGGCTATCGCGATGGATTCAATCGAAGTCGTATTTTCGTGAAATTTAAGAAAATGTTATATTTTAAGATTTTCTCCAAAATATTTCAGAGAAATACTAAGATTTCCGTTATCTAGACCGATCTAAAAATACATGCCAAAACCTGTTTATTCTAATTCCGTTGGTAGAATTTAAAAAATTTTTTGTAAACCTTTTAAGTTTAAATTCTTTTATTATCTGAGGTGACTTTTTACAAAAAAAAATATTTTTAAAAACTATTTTTATTTATGAAAAACTCGTACATTTTTTCAGTCACGCAAATCTTAATAATTTTCCGAAATATTTTGGCGGAAGTCTTAAAATATAATAAATTTTATAAATGTGCGATGGAACAATAGCGATTTTTTTTTTTGTATGTAGAGTGATCCACCTTAATGTACGTACCTTTTAGAAGCATACAAAAAAATTTCCGTACAATTTATTAACACAATCTTTTGTATATATGTATTTCCCGGCTTGCACCCTGCCGTACACTTCCTGCACTTGATCACCTACACGCACCTGCACACACATATGTACATACATTCACCAACACCATACCAACACACATCTACAGTATAGAGTTGCATACTGGGAAATCAAAAATGTACTCTAATTTTGATCACTTACTACATTTTGAACTGCTAGTGGTTAGCCTAGAAAAAAGGTGATACTCATATTTTAGGCGTACTTAACTGCTCATGACATTAACTGACTTCTTTTTTTCATTCATCTCTTTACAGCCCGATTATGAAGTCTATAATCAATCAGTGCCAATGCTCACGCCAACACAAAAGAGTAGTAAATCTGAACAACGTAAGAAACAAGATGATCCCTATTATTGTGGTCTACTAGCCCGTATACCGAATTTCATTAAGTCTTCAAAGAAGAGTCCAAAACAGAAAGAGCCGAAAATTTCGCGTAAAATCTCTGCTTCACAACAACAAATTGTCGAGCCGCAACCTGCACAACCGCTACCCATTGCCACATAGTATCCGGCACACCAGCCACCCTACTATCCATATAAATTACTTCATGCGCGACATCATCGACTCTCCCAATCGCAGTTATCATTGTGGGATGCGCGCAGCCTGATTAGTGCGCATGAGTAAGTGCGGGTAGTGGGGCATCAGCGATGCAACTATGTAAATGGGCAGAATGAAATTGGAGAGAATAAATGTTAGAAAAATGTTGGGAGCAATAACGATTTAATTTTAAGCATTTTTTATAAGGATGCATGTGATTTTTTACTTAAATCAATATGAAAAATATACATATTTATACAGTGTTTTGTAGAAAGGAAAGTGCAATTATCGCTTGAAATTTTAGCACACTATTNTTAATACATATCGCGTGTTTACGGGAAGAATGTCGCTTCAAAAAAGAAAAAAATTAAGGAAGTAAAATAAAATAGAGGTCCAGGGACTGTCAAATCGACCAAGAACTTTTTTTCTCATATAACAAAGTTTCGTCAAACAAAAAAAAAATTAAAACTTTTTTTCGAAAGTAATGCAAAATTCTAAATTTCATAGTTTTTGAATACCTCACAAACTATTATACATAGTAATAAAAATGGTTCTGGTTTCATTTTAAATTAGATATCGAGCCCCAACCGCCAAAATAACGTAAGCGACAATTTTTCCAAAATTTTCTTTTTGATGCAGAAATATTCCTAGAGCATATAGATGCATTTCTGCATCAAAAGTAAAATTTTGAAAAAAATGTCGCTTACGTTATTTTGGCGGTTAGGGCTCGATATTTAGAGCTATAAAAAAAGAATAAAGTAAATTTGACAAGAAGCAATCTACAGAATTTTGAAATTGAACAAATCGTGAAGTCGAAGACTCGATTTTTAATACAATATGAACTTATAAACATTCGAAAATATTTTTTATTGCAAAATCTTAATACTGTTATGTTAACAATTTGTATTTAATTTAAATTTATTTTTAATTTATATTCTGCAAAAAAAATGCATACTTCAAATCTTCATATAATTATATTTAAAAAAAATGTTCCACAAATTTATATAAGTTTTTGCTTTTACGATTTTTAAATTTCAAATTCTGTTTTTTTAATTTTTCGTATTTTTTTTTATGTAGCCACAAATATTGCCTTTAAAACGACAACCATTTTTGTAACTTTAATAGCTTTGGATATTTCAGTTTGGTTGTGTTTCTTAAAGGGTAGGAATATGATATAACTACTGTGGAAATATTTCCTTAATCCTTTGCAAATTTGGATTGAAGATATACCGGTTTCGGCGTTCTGTTATCAGTTTTTGAGTTATTCAAAAAATAAACTTGCTAAATCAGAAAAAAAAATTAGAAATTCTAGATTTTCGAAAAGAAATTGTTTTTTTTCCATTTGGCAGAACTTTGTTACATGAAAAAAGAAAAGTTTGATTGACCCATTAGAACCATTAAAATAAACTTAATAGGGCAATCGAGAAAAACTGCTTTAAAAAAAAATAACTTTAATATTTGCGAGCATCGAAGATTATCGGCAAGCATGATAAGGAATTAAAATAAATTTTCATCTTACGGCACACTGTGGAGCAACGTCTTTATGATTTTTTTTTTTACTCAGTACTCAGTCTTAATTGAGTACTGGCGGCAATTACTCATTTTTTTTCGGAATTGGATAAATTTCCTGTAATCGCGCGGCATTTACATTTACATATATAGTATATGTATGAATATGTAACTGCAATATTTAGGTATTAGAAATTTATTTATTTGTAAGTTGCGCTGTAGTGTAATAAACTATGTTTGTATGTGTAATACAATGTATACAATATTGCCATAATTTTTTGATTTTTTCATTTCTTTAGCCCTATATCTTATCCACTTGTATGTATTTGTATCTTCTACTATTTTTTGCTTCTAAAATAAAGACTGAAATATGTCCTAGAAATATTCACAAAATAAATATTAAATGTTGTGGAAAATCACAACATCTTTATTAATAATCATACAAGTAATTATATAACAACTGAAAAAAAATACTCGTACGTAAATAAATGAAAAATTCAGAAAAAATTTACGGAATTTTTCTGTTCAAAAGTAATATTTATTCGCATACGTATAAGTATATCACAAAAGTAAATAGCTTAAGTTCTACAAAAGTCACCTTTATATTCCTCTTTCTAAATTGCTTTTATTTCTAAATACATATAAAATGTAATTTTTTAGTTTCATTGTAAATATATATATTTTTTCATTTTAAATGTTGTTCTCTTTGGTTTTATGTTTATACTACCAAAAATGTAGTATATAATTCTCAGCACATAATACTCCAATGAAAAATAACAAATTATGTATGTCAAGGCTTTGAAGATGAGCAATTTCGAAAAATAAATCAGAAAACTTGAATCGGCTCTATTATTTGATTTCGGGTTAGAAACAATTCCAAAAAAATCTAAATTTCGCAGTTTTTCATTTAAAATATTTAGGCCAGTGGTCGGCAGGCCATAGCTCACTGAGCGCTCTCTGAGCACATGTATGTTTCAGTCTCACTCATTGAATCGTTTGAATGTGTTAGTACAGCGATCACTGATTTAGGCAGAGAACNGGAAAAGGTAAAGGGACTACAGAGATACAGCATTTAATCATTAATGAGTGGGGCAACGCCCATTTTCCAAAAATTGTGGAACCGTTCTATTTTATGCCAAAATTCTACTTCAAATTTCAACTTGGGAGGTGAACGTGGTTGTTGCCCGATTTCGCCCATTTTCAATCCCAACCCACCTTGGATAAAGGGCAACCCACTTACCAAATTTTGCTCGAGTTATCGTGTACAGCCCATGATAAATGGGCGGTCTCCATTGGAAATATATTTTGTGACTTGGTTGTCTCGACATCAGTATTTTCCCATGGAGACAGGGTCTTATGGAACTGTACGATTGTGCAAAGTGCAAAGTGTCTGTCAAGCACTGTTGCCAAATTCGTGCTTTTCGCACTAAATTTTGAGTTTTTATTAATTCAAAACGCAAAAATTTTTGAGTTTGGTGTTTGGCGCGTTTTTTGTTGCTTTTTTTAGCTAGAAGACACCATAACTGTAAATCTGCAACAAAAGTGGAAGTTTAATTTAGAGCAATTGGAAGTTTCGTAATGATTATGATGATATTAAAAAAGCACCGGTATCCCGTAACAGTAAACCGCCGAGCTAGACATATTAATTTTTATTAATTTGAATCGGCATACCTACAATAAAATTTTTTATGTATAAAATGTCTTTTAAATACTCCAATAAAAAATTTGGTGTTTTTTTGAGAAAAAACGCGATTTTTCTTTGGTTTTAGTGCTTTTTCAAATGCAGAACTTGCTGTCAAGTATATCTTATTATTGTTGTTGTTGCGGCTACAACTTTGAATTGTCAAATGCAACCTTGCGTTGCTTTAAAAGTTTTGCTTTCCAAACGTTTCCAAAAAAGTGACAACTTGCATTCCACATTCCACTCACGCTCGATTGTCATTTTCAAAATTTGTCAGGCATTTTATACTGGTGCATTCGAAATTGCAGTTCTTGTGTACAATGTACATTTTGGAAATTTAAAACTATTGCAATATTAAATAATAGAAAGATTATCAGCGTTTGGCGCTTATTGCGTCAACAAAAGTTACTAGTACATTTACTATGGATAAGTTTGTGACAAGAGCCCCGACATGGCAAAAGCTAACCTATGCAACTGCGCTTGAAAAATCCCGAAGAGATATTCAGCCGACAAATAATTGTATGGTGAAAAAGAAGCCACTGCGAGAAAGCCAAGTGAAACAAACTGAAATGGTGGAGAACTCGCCCGTGCGAAATAAACGTCGATTAAGCATTCGGGATGAGCGATTGTTGAAAATTTTTGCAAGCAAACCTGACCAGCCATTGGTGCCATCTAATGAGGACAGTGGGCTCAGTAGCTCTTCCCAAGGATCCATAGAAAATTTCAATTTTCTTGTACATGGAGCTGACGAGAGAGAGTCTTTGCCTGAGAAAGCAAAAAACCTGTGTAAGTTAAAAATATTCCACTGTCATGAATCTAATATCAATTTGTTAAAAAAAAATTTATTTCAAAATTTCCTCTACTTTTGAAACATAAAACAACAAAAAGCGGCTAATTCCAAATTTCATGTGTACTAAATTATTTATAATAAATGGTGAGTGACGCGTGGAGTGCGCTCCGCTTGTTGCGTTATCGGGGATGTGAGGTACCTAGATGGTAACACTGCGAAAAATTCGCGCTGTCATTTTCTGACATAGCGCAAATGATAACAAAAAGAAAAAAAGCAATTGTGAAAAATAATTTAGTTCCTAAATTTGTTGATCTCTTGGAATTTACTTATAGTTGCTTCTAAGTTATTGCATTTTTTATATTTTATTCTACGTTTTATTTCCGTGACTTCTTTCCAATATGCGCGCGCATATTGCGTGATCCAACAACGGCTTACAGGCGAATTGAGCGACTATGTGAGCAGCGCCGATGTAATGCGTTCACAGCAAAAGCTCTTGATATCCGAAACGCCACCAGCAACTTTCAAAGAGGTGTTACTTGAAAGCAACCAAAGTAACTCCGTTGCAACTTCTTCTAAAACTGCAATAAATTCCGAGGCGAAATCATCTGACAGCAACATAGCTCCTCAAGCCAGCCTTAACAACGTCGAAGGAACTCTCACGGAAGAGCCTACGACACCCGCAACAACTACCAGAATCCACAAATGGCGCGCATACAACGTGATCTCAATAGCCCTTCTGCCACAGTACGCGTGCGAGCAATGAGGGCTTTAAAGTAAGTATTTTCTGAACTCCCAACGTTTATGATTAACTCACAAAATTTCCTCAATTAGAAATCCCAATAACGCTGCTTATACCAACTTTGACGTACCACATGAAGAACAAGATATTATCAGTGTAGAGGAACGCCAACCACCTCCACCACCTTCGATCGAGGAGCTAATGCGTGACATTGTGGTTTATGTAGAAGTACGTACCGGCGAAGATAATCGGTCTGAAGGTGTAAAAAAAGTAATTTCCCAATTAGGCGCACGCGTAAATCACAAACTTCTTAGGTATAAAGTTTTGATCCATATATAAAAATGAATTTTTAAAATAATAAAATATTTGCGCTTTTACAGAGGTACAACACATGTGATATTTAAAGATGGTCTGTTATCCACATACAAAAAAGCTAAAAACTGGAATATACCTGTCGTTTCGATTTTATGGGTTGAAGCCTGCAAAAATAAGCGAATAATTTGTGATCCGAACGAATATCCCATATCGAATATAGATCGCTATGAAAATCCAGAACTGTACGACAAAATGAAGGTAAGTGAACGCGCAAACACTCAATTGTTAGCTATATACTGATTAGAAATATAGGTATATTTTGTAACAGGTTTACTAAGCATTTAGAATTTTATTACATACATAGTTAATATAACGCAATGGAAATAGTAAATGCAAACATAGTTGATTACTATCTGCATAAAATGCTAGCTTAGAGTTATGACGGTTTTATTATAACTGAAAATACGCTTACAGTTATAATTGCTTTAAAACTAATCTCTGGGAAAACGTGTTTCTGGCGTTCTTAGTAAGCTTGACTATTCCATGACAACTGACTGCACTTTGCAACAAAAACATAATAATAATTTCATTTAATAAGCAGCGTCTACAAGAAATTAATATTTTCTGAAATAATTTTGGAACGCGCCACCCTTTGTTCGGTTAAATACAACACAGACAGCTAAATCAGAAATTTCATTGCTAAAAATGCTTAGCTGGTGAGCAAGTGTCGCTGAATAATTTGCGAAACAGAAATATGCTTATTTTTTTCTTATAAAAGGCCCCTATAATCAAAGTTTTCAAAATTTTTCTTCTTTTGCCAGATTCCATTTTTTGTAGAAAAGAAAACGCCATTAATTTATGATCGCTTACCTATAATGATTTTACGTTAGTCGAGAATAGCTTAAATCGAGCGATGAAAGGTAGTCCAGAGCTACTTGTAGATATATGAAGGAATTAATCAAATTGGGAAGATCTGATGCTTACATACATATCTGTGATATTTTATTAAAGGAGGCGAAACTTATTATTTTTTAACCCTAAGTTAAACCTTCTAAAGGCACTTCAGTTGTTTTAAAAAATTGCACAGAAATTAAAATTGAAATAATTTTTTTGAAATACTTAGCTGAAATTTCAATTAAAAAAAAATTATTGCATAGTGTGATTGTAATGGCAACACGTGATACCATTCTTATGGGCATTTCCACTGACAAATGTAGAAAAAAACGGCAATCTTTAATATAAATTCTCCGACCTTTCGAATACGCATTTCTAAGATACGTGAGGAAATGTTTCATAAAGTTTTTTTTTTATGTCCTTACAAAAAAAGGGTTAATCTTTTTGTTATCTGCTTAAAAAAAAATGGCGCTTACCTTAGGCCGACCTTCTTCCCCCATTTTATGATATGCGTCTTAATATCACAAATGGAGGAACCTAGAGTTTAACACCAATTTCGAGCCTCAAATGGTTTTGTGAGAATGTTTTTCATATCATTCGGGCATTCATAAAACGCAAAAATCTGCAATAACTTCTTAAAGATACTCTTTATCTCAAATTATATATTTTGTATTAAATTTTCTAAGCATGTATTTGTTGTACATATTTAGATTTTGTTTCCAGTACATGAATGTACAAAACAAATTTTATGATTTCTTGTTAAAAAATTGGGTTGTTTAAACATCACAGTAGTCCACCTGCAAAGTGCGCTATGTAAAATTTGTTAGATTTTTAGTTTTTGATGGGTAACGTACCAGTATTTAAAGTAGTTTCATGTCCACTAACAATACAGTGCCAAATATTTCTATATTCTGGAAAAAATAGCTATGCCTACGATTTATTCTGATTAATTTATTTTTTTTTTTATAAAAAGTAGAATATAAAAATGCAAGACTCTGCCGTCAACCTTAATTGACCGAGCTTCTCCTCCGATTTGTGGCGTGCGCCTTGATGTTTTTACACAATGGGGAGGGACATGGGCGTAGCCAGGTAGGCGGCTCGAGCCCCCCCCCCAAACTTTCAAATTTTCCTTATATATATATAAAATAGTACCCTGAAATGCTAGCTTAATAGGGTCGAGCCCCTCCCCCCTAAATTTCATTCTGGCTACGCCGATGGGGAGGGACCTACTGTATTACGCCGACGCCGAACGGCGATTGTATTTTTATGAGAAGCTGTTTTTCATGGCAGAAATACACTCGGAATACACTTGCCAGTCCGGGGGCGAAAGCTATTATTTTTGTTTTTTATTTTTTTTTTATGTTGGGTTGAATCGGTCTTGAACCCTGGCCCTGCGGAATGGCATAGCACACTGCTAACCACTACACCACAGCGGCCACCTACCTTTGACTTAGCAATATCTGTTCCTAGTTGATAGATAACAACTTTCAAATGAGTATGCGTTTGTATCTTTAGTTAATTCAGATAAGTACTTTACAAGCACCGGTACTTGACTACAGCGCAGCTTCACAGTGCCATCAAAAACTCAAACTGTGAAATTATGTAAAACTTACAGATATGCATACATACACTTATCGCCAGGTATTTAGGTAAAAGTATGAACATACTTGACTTTTCTTTTCTCATTGTCTGAATGGGTTCTTGGAAGTCATTGAAAAAAAAACAGTTATGTCCAAGAATTAACATTTAACAGAAAAATGGCACGCAATCTATAATAAAACAATAATATTTGAAAAGGCCAAAGTAGTCCTATATGAATTATAGACTGACTTTATGTGAGATCAATCAAGTGTCTCACCGGGATTAGTGCTGAACGCATGTGCACACATAACTCTATGTGTGTACTTATAAATGTATGTATAGTATTATAAATATACATATAAGCTCATTTTAGCAAATCTTGATAATGTAGAAAAAAACCGCGTGCAAAACATTATAAACGCTTGATGACTAAAAGGTTCTTTCCTTATATATATGTATATGAGTAATTTCCAAACAAAGTGTACATGGCAAGTATTTTTTATATATATAAATTATTTTATATATATTTTAAAATTGGTAAATTTATCCTCTGATATCGTTTGCCGACGTGAAAATATGTGCAGAATACGAAACTGCTTTCAGGCTCTTTAAAAATTATAAATTTTTTTCTTATTTTAAGTTAAAGTATTAAATAAGTTTAGAAACTGTTCGAAAAAACTTTACTAACCGATAGCTAAGCGATAAGCTAATGTTGTGAAAAAGCCTCCACCTTCTTATCAACATTTTTCATGGTTCCATGTCGTTTTTCTTGGGAGACAGGCTTTTTGTTTAATCTTTTTTCGGCAACAATTTCCCATACACGTTTTGTTTTTTTTTTCTAAGATTATTATTTCACGAAAATATAAAAACAAGGATATAATTGAAACTTCTTAAGAAGTGAACAGACATAAGTAATAAACTTATTTTTAGTTTTTTTTTTGCATAAAAACCTGGGTGACATTCAGGAAATATTCCGCCGTACTTACCATGGTGCAATGATAGATTCACTTAAAAACACAAAATAATTACTTTTAATTCTTATGTCATTCAATCAACAACATTTTGCGCTTTTTAACTGCAATGCAAGAAGTACCGTTCGCAAAAGAAAGCAAAACGGCTTACAATAATAAAACAGCAGAATTATTTGGATCGTATAATGCTGTTTTGGATTTATCGTTTTTACCACCATAAAAAATTTAAGAAGTGGGGACATAAAAATTGCACTTCGTTTGGAAATGACCCATATATCTATATATTTTTGTTAAGATATCTAAGAAACATTCAAATGCACGTAGGCGCTTTTATCAGCACACATCACAAATTATCGTGACATTTTTGAATTTATCATTCTTTAATTAAGTTATCTTAACAAGTAGTTGTTGTTATTGTTGTTAGATCATAGGCATTTGCGTATACCATCCGTTTGCAGTTTTTGAAGTGTATACAAGTTGATAGATTGCCTACTACATGCTGTACTACCAGCGGCAAATGTTTAGTACACTATTTCAATGCTACTACTTATACAAACTACTTGTACAATTAAACATGACACCTTCACTTTAGCTGAATGTATTTTTTTATTGTTTATTAAATTACGTAGTGTTTTTTACACTTTTTTGGCTTGCAAACATACACAGAAGATAGTTAAAAACTAATTAAGTTTTACTGCTGCTGCTATTGAGCAGGATTCCTATGAGATACGTTAAATAATGCCATAAAAGCAATCAATTATTCGCAGCATTATGCTGAAAAGAGATTTCTAAAATCAAGTAGTTTACAAACATATTTAGTTTTAAAATATTTACAAAAGTAATACTCAGTTGTCTTCTGCCGTCTGTGGCATTTGCTGTTTTTTGGTTTTTCTATTTTTGTTAAGCTTACTAAAATCCTTTCTCACAAAAATTGTGCTTGAATAACTTTCTCAATTCAAACCGAATCGAAAATTTCACATTTAAGTAGTTTAAGCCAGCCATACAGACTTACATACATACATGTACATGTATATAAATATATATACACAACCTACGAATCTAACGATGACATACACATATTTTGTGTACACATAGCCGCAGGACACACAAATTTAAATTAGTACATCTTTAAAATATATACAGCTTGTTTTCTGCATTCTCCTTTTGTACATCTGGTTATTAAAAATATAACAACGGCAGTAGTTGCAACATCAGGATAGGGTCACTTCAAGGCACATCATTATAAGGAACCCAGCTACCGTGCCCCAAGTGGCAATCGTTCCATTGCCACTCGCATGTGCTTCGGGCAATATGTCGTCTGCTACAATATAGATCATAGCGCCCGCCGCAAATGATAGTGCGTAAGGTAGTATGAGATTGGCAAAGGTCACTGCCACTGCACCCAAAATGCCGAAAATCGGTTCCACCATACCGGAAAGTTGTCCATACCATAATGCACGCCCCACACTAAACCCAGCCGCATGTAATGGCAAACTGACAGCCAGACCTTCTGGAAAGTTTTGTATACCAATGCCAATTGCCAGATTTCTTGCTGCCTCAAATGTGGAAGACTCAGTACTGCCAATGGCACCGAAGCTGACACCAACAGCCAGACCTTCGGGTATGTTGTGCACGGTGATTGCAACCACCAGTAACATTATGCGCTTCCACTGCGCCACTGCATTCTCAAGATTGCGCTGGGATTCTGTCATATATGTACGTTGGGCTTCCACCTCCGTGGCACTATTCTTCTTGCGTCGTCGTGTCTCAATATTGCCGTGTTGTGTGCTCAAGCAATCGGAGAAGCTATCCATACTTTTGGCAGCAGTGCGATCCAATACACCTTGACTGTTGCGCATATCATCAATAGCTATATCGGCTTTATCCTTATTTGTTTGTGTCATTGAAATCATCATATTCGTGCTGTTCAGACCCAGATACGACATCAGCCGATCACAACCGTAAACAAATATGGCACCCAATAGAAAACCACCAGAAACCGGCATAAAGGCGTAAACGCCATAGAGATGAGAACTTTCAGCCATTTCAATGGCCGGATTCAACAGTGACCAAAATGAGGCGGCGACCATGACGCCAGCTGCAAAGCCTAGTGCGGCGTCAAGCGATTTGCGTTGGTTACCGCGTACGAATATAACGCAAGCAGCGCCTGCAGCTGTCAATCCCCATGTGAAGAGCGTGCCCAATAGGGCTTGCATGACGGGTCCATAGCCAGGAATCATTTTGTCTAGCTGAAACTGTGCGCTTCAATGCCAATGTTAACACAAGCGTAATACACCCAGCTTTGCTTAAGCTTAGCTATCTTGTGTACGTAGCTATTATTTTCGCTGCAGATTACGCAGCTATTTCTGCTTATCTGTAAAATGAAAAAAAAACACATTTTTTTATCAATTAAGCTCTTGTTTCAACTTGACTAGGTACTTTGTAGATACACTAAACTGCAAAATTTTGATTATAAATAGAATTTTGAGTGTTACCCAGTAAAATTCATCTGTATTTCCATTAAGGTTTACCTTGCTTGTTTTCAAACGAAAATGCCACGTTCCAAGCGCTCATAGCCTTCAGAAGTAAATGCAGCTTAGGGAAATCACCAAGTCGACGTTTTTCAATCAATTCCAAGATTTATTTCGCGATTTGCCAAGAATTGCAGCTGTTAAATATTGTATCTTGCAGCTAAACAATTGAGTCAATTAACTCATTTCGTTGAACAACAAGAAAAAAGTGAAAACGATTTGCCGATATGCTGTTTTGTTGAGTGATGAGCGCTCCACAAATTGTTGCTCCAACTTCAGCGAGCTACAACAATCGAATACAACACAAAGCGAGAGCGCTAGCGATTGTCAACTGTCAGAAGTCAGCTTGTTCTCTTGCCGCTTTTTATCTGCTGCTGCGTCCGTAGACCAACCTGGTGGCAGTAGTTGGGAAATGTATATATGTGTATATGTAGATACATGCATGGTCGCTTTAGGAAAGGCATACACAGCTGATTTGCCTCGTTACCTGTAGTATACTTAGATTACAGGGGTGCTTTCACAAATCTTCATGCAATTGGGTTTGCTTGTGCTATAATAGGTTTTTGCATAGGAGACCTATTTGTTCTGTAAATATCGAGTATACGCAAAATTCCCTAACCGAAGAAAAGTGTAAAACTAGTATTGGATAATCGAATTAGCTTAACTTTTTTTTGTGTGTAAATTTTTTTGCCTTATATAAAAAACTTTATGGCTTTCCTGGCTAAATTTAGTCCCTTATAGTCATTAGACCCCTTTCAGACACGTCAAGACTTGCTTTCAAGTCTGTCGAATGTACTCTTCCCCTCTCTTCTCACCTCCTTCGCCTACGAACGAGCTGTCTTGAAATAAGACTTGACGGGTCTGAAAGGGGTCTTAATATAAAAGATCTAATGAATGTTTGTTGTTCATCATTATATGTGTATATGTACTATGTATATATAACTAAATTTAAATTGACAAAAAACTTTCTCTGGCACAAATAGCATTGATACTACTTTTTACCTTCCACGAAGCCATACAATTTTAAATGTTTGTCACAGCAACCCGCCTACTTTTGGAGCAATACGACGAATGGAAGCAAAACTAACTAGAAAATAACAACAACAAAATTTAAAATTTGATAATATCACTAAGATCACTTAAGATCACAGTGGTATAGCACGTACTCATAAATAAATACAAACAAAAAGCGTTAATTTGAACAGCTTAGTTTTGTATCCACGGGCATGAAAAGTTTAAGTCTAAGACGACATGATTAGTCAGATCCGTACGTACGCCCATGACCAAAATAATGTAAACGCCTTATTTGGCTATATTTCTGTTGTTTACGTTAATATTTATTATTGTTTGAACCCGATTTTATAAAAATGGACAAAGTTGCGGAGAATATGCTTCGAACACGTATGCTGTTAATTTCTAATACAATCGTGACAAGCTATATTAAATATTATATTTTTAAGGCAGCTCAACAATATTCATTTCAAAATGCCAAAATCTATAAAAGTTCTGTTAAATTCTCAATTTTTTAATCGGATTATTTAGAATTTTTTTTGAGTATGCAGTTTCATAGCCTAGTAAATTTTATATAATAAAGTGTAAGTTTTAGGTTGCTAAAAATTCGCTTTGATTTTTGGAAATTTTTTCTCCGCATTTTCTCCCATACGAAGTATATTTGACATTATTTTTTATGGATAATCTGCGTAATACAGTTAGAAAAAAAATATCAAAAATAAACGCAACACTCGGCGTTAATCGGCTAAAAGTCGGTTAAAAAAATTAAAAAATCTGATTCAAAAAGTGGAGATCTTTTATAATTTTTGCAAAAAGTTTGAAACATGAATTTATATGGGTTATGTTAGATATTGAACTACACTTTTATACAAAAATAATAAATATTAAATAAACAAAAGAAATTTAACCAAAACTGGCCAAAATAAGGCGTTTCTATTATATGTGGCATTGGGTATATATACATTTGTATGTACTGGAGAAAGTAACTAAAATTGAAATTGACTTTAAAAAATTAATCTTAAAGCATGTTCACATTATCGTAATTTACGGCTAATTTGTAATATATAAGCAAATCATTTTTCATTATTTTAGGCCCCACTGTTGGGCAAATTTGAAAAAATTCCCTAAGGTATGAACCATTTTTTTTAAAGTACAACACATCGTATAAAGTGATTAGAATTTAAATGTGAACGTACTGTTATGTGTAATTAGATCGAAGCAAAGTAATTTTATTTTAAATTTTGAAATAGTTCTCTATATTATTAATGTGTGTGATATTCTCCATAAATGCGTATTAAGTGTATGAGGAAACCTCCAAAAACGTAAATTGTTGAATTAAATCCCTTATTATTAAACGTGCGATATGTACATGTATTATTTTATAAATGTTTATATCTTATCATTTTTTGTAGCGTCACAAGTCTATGCAACCGGATTCAGAATGTAATAAACGTATTCGCCTCAGGCAGGGTACTACAAAAGACTCTACACCTAAGACTGGAGCAGAAGCGCTTACTAAAATTCGTCGATTGTGAATAATACGCCAAAATCGAGTAGGAAACAGGTAAATAGAATAGTTATTTTACGTATAATCTTATCAACAAGAAAGCAGTGATATTAATACTATGTATTTTTTTCATTTCTTTTTTGATTCACAATCATAAACAGACTGATATAAGTCAATACTTTAGAAAACTAGCTGGTGCCAACAGCACACCTATTGCTGATAAAAATGCTTTACCTGGGTCAACAACATCGATAACGAAAGCCAAAGATGTGGCTGAGTCACCCGCTACCCAGCTGTTAAATAGGTAAGTCCTTAGTAGTATACAGTTTATAGTTTACTCAATAAATTTAGTTTTTTTTAGAGAATGATAGATGACCACCAATGTTTTCGCGATTTTGCGCTAACATTTTCTGCTATAAAACGACGGCTGAGTGGAAGATCGCGCTATCTCAGCAAACGATTAAAACACGTTTATTTCCGCATTTGGTTTAAGAAGTCCCCTGTCAGCAATTATGTCAAAAAACGCCCTATCTCAGCTGCCGTTATATTGAATATATATAGAGATATGGCGTTTTCTGACAGCTGAGATAGGACGCAGTTGAACCAAATTCTGATATAGGGCGTTATTCAACCATTTGCTGAGGTAGGGCGATCTTCCACTCAGCCGACGATTTATGCATATGAACAAATTCTAAAAAGAAACAAAATACCTATTGCAGTTATTAACGTTTTAATCACCTTAAAACCTGCTAAAAGCTTTTCGAAGTCGAATCTACATAGTTACAATAGAGCAAAGATAGTGGTCATTCAAAGCTCTCATAAATATTTATGTTAATAATTGAACACCTGTTTATTAAAAAAAACATTCACAAACAAAGTGGGCCAAAACACGACTTTACTTTCTCCACTGACGCTATGAATATATAATTCCATCGTCAGCAACATTATGCTCTTAAAACCCTTTTAATATTGTTTGTTTACTCTTAAAAAACTTTATATGATTTTTAAATAGATATGGGTGTTTTGATTGAGGTCACGCGACCCAAAAGTAAAATGTTTATAAAATGAAATTTTTATTTAAAACATAATTTAAAAATCTTTCATTCTAAGTTATCAATAAAAAAGTGACTCCAAATTTGAGGACAAGGAACTCTTTCGTCCTTTATGAGTATTCATTACAATTTCATAAGAGAGTTAATGGTTTCACATTCCTCGCAAATTACTGGTAATAAACCGAAAATACACAGAAAACCTGCCCATTTCCGTTGCAAAAGGAACACATTTTCAAAAAATTCGATGTCTGTGTAGAGGTATAAAATTCAATTCAGTGGTTTTTGATGTAAGCGTACATTGCTTTCACTGCCCCTACAATAAATTTTGAACGATACTGTATAGATGAACTGTAGCAAAATATCTCATTTTATTTTCAGAATTGAAAGCAACTCGTTCACACCCCCCCTTCAGCCTAGAAAAATCCAAAGCGATACAAATACTACAACTTTATCAATAGCAATGTCACTGAAGTCCTCAAGTACTGGCACTTTGTCCGAGCGTACTAACATAACAAGCGAGTCTAGAAAATGTTTAAAATTCCCATCGCCCGGACAGAGATCGGCTAAGAAGAAAAATCCCAATATACCTTCACCAAAAAAACCTTGTATACAACGACGTTCCAGTGTTCAGGTGCCTGTGGCACAGAGTAGAAGTGATTATTCACTACAGGCGTCTGGTACCGTTACACCTGGTCGAGTAACGCGTCGACGAAGTTCAATTCATACCACAGTCAACATGAGCCTCAGTACGCTTGTGCCGAGCACGCCAGATTTAATCTCACATTCCAATCAAGCAACATTTAGTGCAATACCCGAAGAGGATGGTGAGAACACTTTAAAGAAGAGTGTGAACCAAACTACTACAAGACAAAAGCTAAGCAGTCCGAAAAGTCCCATAAATGGCTCGGTTATTAAAAAGCGTATTATAAGACGGCGCACAACTTACACGAATAAAACTCCTGAAATATCACCCGAAAAATCAAAAACAACAAAGCGACGCACTCTATATACCCCAAAACCAGTAGAGGAGAATGTGTTGGAGTCGTTGGCACAAGTAGATGGAACACCAAAAGTGCTGGACGAAAATTTACTACAATTTGCTTTAACACCAACCACACTTGTCGAAAGTAAGGAAAGACTATCTGACAAAGAAAAGAATAGGGAAGTCGAAGTTGGTGCGTTAATCGAAGAGCACTCTTCAACTATAATTTTCAATTCAACCCGTCTACCCAGTGCCAATCGGCGGCGTACACTCTTCGATGTTTCAATGGATATCATACAACAACGTTTACACAATATAAACAATTCGGCAAGACGCTCAATAGCACCTGAGCTAGTTTCTATTGAAAAGAACCCAAACATAGTTCAACCTCCGACAAATACAAATACTTTGCCGTCGGCTTCGAAGCGCGCCATAGAAATTGACGAGACAATCGCAGAAATAGCTGCGCCAAAAACACCTGCTCCGACAAACCCAATTTCTCCACCTAAAACTGTTAAAAAGCGCAAGTTATTTGTACCCAACGATACAGCGCTAATTTTAACTGCTACGCCCCCGACTTCAGCAAAGAAGAGCACAACTGAAACAAGTGCAAAGCGCAGACGCACCATGACACCAAAAGTAGTAGAAAACCCACAGAAACCACGATACAGTATCGTCGCAAATGCTAGGTCGCGTTCAAATGTTATTATAAAACCCACCACGCCGGCGCACATAACGGATCTAACGAAGAGTGCACTGCAATTAGTGGCTACGCAAACAAATGGGTGGATCCAAAATGAAAAGGGTGAAGGGTTCAACGCACAGTCTTCCACGCAATTGAAAAAAACTGCAACGACAGTTGATAGTAAAGTGGAAGAATCGGCGCCGAGCCTTACCACAAAATCTGTCGTTGTTGCACCTGCAACGCAAAAGTCTGCATTAGTGAATGAGTCAAAGGATGCAACGAAAACTACATTACAATGTAATGCTGTTACAACAACTACAACACTACCAAAACAAGCATCATCCATGAGCTTAATTTCAAGTAAAACATCCGATACTACAGCCAAGAAACAACTGCAACAAGACATGGAAGTTGACGAGAACATCGCCCTAAACACGCCTTCCAATTCAACGATATTATCACAAACGTCTGCTGCAGCTTCTTCTTTTGTACCGGACGAAAATGCAAAATTGCCGCTGCCTACAGTGGAAAAACTACCTCCAATAACGAATCAACCTCAAGAGAAAGTTGTGAAAAAGTCTCAAATGAGCAACAGGCCAGACAAAGCCAAAGATGCAGTGGCAGTAGCAACGGGTAGTATGACTACGCAATCGTCAAAAAGTGCACCCGCCAGCAATAAGAAATGGCCATATATTGTGTGTACCAACATGCACCGGGAGCAAATAAAAGTGATACGTGAGGTGCGTAAACAACGATAAACCTTGTATTTAATAATTTTGCCAAATGCCTTTCCCCCATTGCGCTGGCGCTGGCGTTCCTTTCACTAGTATCCCTACACATTTTGTTGAATTTTAATGATATTGTGTTACTTAGCTTAAATTTGAAATTTTATTTTATTTTAAGTTTTATTTTTGTTTTTATTTTCTTTAATAAGCTTAACCTGTACTTCCATATAACTTCGCTCCTCATTTTATTGAATTACTGTAAAATTGCTCTTAAGTAGTTAAAACCTCTTGAATATTATTCATTTGAACTTGTAGATTACGTTGCTCATTCCAAAAGCATCGAAAAAATTACTTTCTCTGAATGAGTATGAGACGATTGTACATTATTTAAAGTACACAAACAAAAAACACTGTTATTCATTCACATTTTCAAACGTCTATACATACTAAATGAAGAAATAAATCGATATAGCATATATGTATGGAAAACGCTTTTTTGTTGTTTAATCATTGTGTTTACATTTGAACGATTGCCTTCTATCAAACTAAAAAAAATAGCAAAGCACTTACGAACCTAAAACTGCGCCGCCAGCTTACGTAAACATATACATATTGGTGTTAAAAAGCCTCAAAAAATTATATTTTTCGGAAAGATGTCTAAAACGATGTCTAAAAAAAATCAAACTTATTATTTTTTACAAGTGCCATTGAAACATTTAATTTGCACATCTCCTAAGTTATGTGATTATTTTAGAAATCTAAAATATAATTTAGAGCTTGTTGTAATGAAATACATATGCTATACTTACGGTGACCATAAATATGGATTCAAAATTAAGGACAATTTTTCAAAAATATGCCCACATATATTTACGTAGTATAAAACTATCGAAGGAGTATTTATGATTCTAAATTCTTAATACATTCTAAACTTTAAAAACGAATTCCGTTTTCTTCAACGATATTAATCTTTTTTTACATGAATATTTATAAAAGTATAGTAAAACATATTATAATTACAATAGCTTACACGAAAAGTGAAAATCTTTAAAAGATTATTTTATAGGCAAATTTTGAGTCGTTCAAAAGGAAAACAATACCTTTTTTTTGTTTTTTTGTACTTTTTGCAGTTATTTGTCAAAAATCGACGTAAACGACAAGTACATATTTATGTGCCCTTTACAAAATATATAATTTGTGCAGATTGTGCTTCATAGCATCTACATTTCTAATCGGATTTTCATTATCTTTGGCTCAAAATTTACTGTAATGATATATCTTCTTTATCGAATTTTTAAACTAATGAAAAAATAATCAAATAAAACTGCGTATTTGATTGAAAATCTCACTTTTTTCGACTTTGACGACAAAATTCAAATGGTCGCCTGTAGCACTAATAATTTTCATTGAAGTCGCCACGAGTTATATATTTTGGTAAGAGGCACATCAACACCCTTCGAGCTGTAAGTCGCTTACGTTGATTGGGCAGATTTTTTCATGAAATATTAAGAAAAGCCACGAAAAGTACCAAAAAATACTTTTCGGAAAAAATTCATCCATTGTCCGATAATTTTAAAATAACGAATAAAATGCGGGCCAAATGCAGGACACTTGGAAAAAATCAGTACATTTTCAGGTTTTTCAGGTTTGAAAAACCACGCAGGACCGACCTTTGAAAAACAGTACGGTCCTGCAAAAAACAGAACGGATGGTCACCGTAGCTATACTTGATATGTAGTAAAGTAGCAGTATTTTGTATCATCCCTCTAAATAGTTATCCTTTACAAAATACGAGTACTAAACAGTTATTTTAAAGTTTTCCCCTAATTTTTATTTCTACTAAAAACGTAAAGAGGCATTACTTAATACAAATCATAATACAGTACATAGTAGTGATACAAGTAAAATGCCATTTATTTGATTTAGCAGCACCAGAAAACCGGAGATCGTAACAGTTATTATTTCTATGGTAAAATTTACAATTCAGTCGTTACAATTTGATCGCTGTATTTTAAATGGATTTCAGTTAATTTTATTCCATCATATTTGCCTTCATCGTTTTAATCCACTAAAACTTCAAAACGACGTCCGATTGCTCTCTGAGTGCTAACTTTTGAGTTTAAGACTACTCGCCACTGCTACCTATGCTGTCGTATACATATTCGTATTTGTAAACTCGCTTTAATATTGGATTTTCTAGTTCTTCGAAAAAAACAGCCTCATTGCGTAAACCGAGAACTGGAAGGGAATTCACGATACGATGACATTTGTAGTGAGAGTGCAGGACTAGGGATATCGGAAAACATCGATGCAATGAAAATATCAATGTTTTTTCTCTACAGCCATTGAACCGCCATTTCAGTTTTTTTCAATTGAACAAAGAAGAGAAGTGAGCTTGACCCAAAAATTTAAATGGCTTTTAAAAAGTTCCTTATGAACATAACACTGATCCAAATTTGTGTTTGGTTTTTGTTGCCCCTATCCATTTTCCATGTAGAATTACACGCTGATTGCAAAAATCCAGTTAATTTTTTTATTCTATAGATACGTTTTCGAGATATTTTCAAATTACCGTTATTTACTTAAAATAAAAGGTGGTGAAAATGAAATACGACAAATGAAAGCTAACAATAAAGCCGGACCACGCTTTTATGCTCATATTAGTTGCGTTCCAGATGCTTCACGATATTCACGAAATTCACGATTTGCAGGAACAGCTGTTTTCCCCATTAATAAACCTTATGGGAGGTGGTCACCTGGAACGACTTCCTGAAAAACCTGCAAATCGTGAAGCATCTGGAACGCAACTATTTCATACAAAAAAACTTGGCGCATTTTCATTTGATCCCTCATTACTTCTTTATTTATCCATAGATTTTCTTCATTAGTAACTTGATTTTTTTTTTAACAGAACAGGCTTTAGCACAAATACACAGAACCTGTTATTTTTTAAATTGTTCTTCTGTGAAAGTGTTTTTTCATATTTTCATCAAAAAAACAAAAAAAAAACTGGAATGATTAATTAATTTGTTTTGTTAGCTTTCATTTGCCGTATTTCATATTAAGATTGTTAAATTTGTTCGTCAGATATACGTGATTAAGTGTGACCACTTTTTGTTTTAAGCTGAATAACGGTAAATTGAAAACATCTTAGAACTTATCCATAGAATAAAAAATTAAGTCGATTTTCGGGATCAGCGAGCAATCCTTTCTAGGAATTGGATAGTGGCATATATTGAACTTTTTTGCTGTAAACCAGTGAATTAAGTCAGTTATAGTAATTAATTTGAAATTTTGTACAATTTTCCTAATTACATTTTTTGTTGTGCAGTAATATCTGAAAAGTCGAATCAAAGAAATACATCCCTGGCAGACCAGGTTGTGTAATTGTACAAAAAAAAATTTTATTCAACAAAAAAACATGTGAGTAGACACTGGGGTCAATGGTTTAGTTGTAAGTCATGCAGAGTCCGCTTATGAAATCGGGAAGAATTGTCCGGAGGATGCGTCAAGCTGTACCTTAATAAGTTTCGTTATGGGACACTTGAGAAGTGCATATGCGAAATTTCGTATATGAAAGTTTTGCACATGCAGCTGTGAACATATTTTAACGCGGGTTTATCGAGGTTGTAGTATGCATTAAGGCGCTAGGTGTTAGAAGTCGCCTAAACAGTGATTCTTCTCCCGTATTAATGCACAAAATGGAGGGAAATTTCAGGCAATGCCATTTAATTTTCGAAACATGACTTACATTCGACAGGCACTTGCAACCCCACCAAAAAACTATTCTGCAACTGTTCTAGTAAATTTAAAAATTACATTTGCGAAGTAAAGCAACATTTACGGAAAACAAATAGTTTGACTACCTTATACAATCCCAAATTGATCATATATAAATAAGATTAGCTGACTCGTATTGATAAATGAGGTTGAATAAAACATACTACGCCGCCTTTTGCAAATTTTGCACCTAGATATTTATATGTAGATACCAATATGCATTTGAATTTTCGTGATAAGAAATTCATGTATGGCAAGCCCATTGGCAAATTTTTAAGCTATTTACTTTGAGTCTATTTAAAATTCATTTTACGCTGTTTACTTTTTGATTTTCATTTGTTGTTGTTGTAGCGGTTACCAAGCCCCGCTCGGGTCGGTTCATCTGTCAACGTTTGATTTTCAGTGTTTTGGACCAACTTCAAAAGAAGTAGGGGGTTATTAATTCACTCCCAAACTTGTACATAAATATATAAGCATTGAGTCGGTTGTTTTTTTTTTGCTTATCACAACAATAAATAAGAATTTTGATTGATTCAATTTAATAGCAAACCCAAAAAAGACGACACCATAAAAATATTTTATTTTTGGGGTATCTACAGAACTTGGAACGAAACTAGTTTCATGCCAGTGTTACTAATATAATAATATATCGATACCGGAGTAGAAGATCGACCTATCTCGGAAGCCAGTTCGAAAACGCCCTAACTCAAAATTTGATTGAAAGACGCCCTATCTCACTCAGCTGCCGATTGAAAAACGCCCTATCTCAGCACGTTTTCAATGTATTTTCAGCTGAGATAAGACGCTTTTGAACCGAATTCTGAGAAAAAGCGTTCTTAACCAAATTCTGAAATAGGGTGTTCCTTAATAAGATTCTAAAATAGGGCCTTCAACCAAATTCTGAATGGGCGTTTTCGAACTGGCTGCCGAGATAGGTCGAGCTTCCACTCAGTTAACGATAAATTATTGGAGAGTGCATTTTTCCGAATTATGTTAGAAGTCTTAACTCTTTCCAGGCCAATCCAAGTATAAAACACGAAGTTCGGCTAAATATTTTTTTTTTTTTATTTATTGGAAAACAAATGTAAATAAGATTATTGTTTTATTGTAACAGCATAAAATGTCGCAGTTTTTTGAAGTGACAATCCTTGTCAAGATGTGTATAGATCTGGGTCGATCCGGTTCGTGGGACCGTCCATAAGATGTAATTAAAAATACTTGCTAGGTTCGATACTAATCGTATTTAGTGATCGAATTTTCGTTGATTTAACAAAAATCGGACTACGCATAAGTAGAAATATATAATAGAAAAAGAGTATTACCGATTTGGCACGGTAGTATGGCAAAGAATCATACTAAAAAATGCCGTAGGAATGATTATATTAATAATTATTATTTTTCACAATTCTATCTTTTTATTTACAGCCGGGTGTCACCTCAATTAAACAATAAGAAACGCATAATTGTATCTAGCTGATTTGGAGGCCGTGCAGCAGAAGTGGCCTAACCCATTTTTTTGCACACTTACATACCTACTTACAATAATCTAAAATGTGATAAATTTTAAAACAAAAGTGACTTATTCCTTTATTCTAAGGTACAAGGCTATTTAGAGTACCATCGTACTAAGGAATAAGCGACATTTATTTTAAAATGTATCACATTTGAAACGATTTTAAGAAGTTAATTATGAAAAAAGTGAGTTAGGTCACTTCTGCTCTCATGGTCTGTACTTACCGTAAAAATATTCACTTCTAAAATAATACAATTTCATTGATTTAAAGTCAGTACAAATAGGTGCTTTTTCATCCGCTACTGCATTTTGATGCCGCTGTAAAACTAGTTATATCTACGTAGTATGGATATCAACTATCTAAATTAAAATAAATTTTTTTATTTTTAATTGTTCCGTACAATTTTCCAAACTTATTTGTATTTCACCCTGGAGCAATGCTTTAAATAAGTTTACATTGGTGTGTGGTACGAGTCAGAAGACTTTTCATACTTTTCTCACACTCAAGTTCAGAGGAAAGTTCAAGAGTTATGATACACTCTATAGACGAACAATTTATGTTGAATATTTAATATATCTATATACATATATTCCACCGATGGTCGATTCTTTTCATGTATTTCATAATAGTTTCGTTGTTGCGTGCCTACAAGCAGTAAATAAGTACTCGTATTACAAACATACATTTGAATTTGTTTCGATTTGAATATCAGTATCAGTCGCACTTAATAACCATTAATTGATTATCATAAATAAATATAAAAATATGCACGAGCTCATACACATGTACATACATACATGCTTACATATATTTTAGTGCAAAAAAGTAAATCGCACCATTCATACTTTTTACTTCATCCTTATATACTTACTCATCCTTAATCCTCAATAAATTCACTACCATATTTAGGCAATCGCTACTCTTGGTGGCCTGCAACTGAATCACTGTGTTAACGACCATACTACGCATGTGGTGAGTTACGAACCGCGTCGAACGCTGAATCTACTGCGCGGTCTAATACGTGGCCTCTGGATTCTCGATTACAAATGGGTAGTAGACTCACTTAAAGCCGGTTGTTGGCTAAATGAGGAAGAATATGAGTTGAGAGTGTTTTCGCGCGCCGTCGAGGTAAATCAAAATTAAGAAGCGAAATGTTTTTAAATGTTTCTTTTTTTAAGTAATTTTAATAAATTTTCATTACATTCATCTACATACATAAAACAGATTTGTCGCACCGAGCGTCAGGCTTTTGGCAATACCTACAAATGTGAACTCTTTACGGATTTAGGTGCCTTTTACATATCGTCGCGTTGTGGTCCCATCTCAAAGGAAAATCTAAAAGAGCTTATTGAATTATGTGGCGGCAAAGTGGTCGATCATCGCAAACGTGCTAAATATATACTCGGCGATCCACACAAATCACTCGAAGATAAAGTCTACGTAACTCCATTTTGGGTATTGGATAGCATTACGCAGATGCAAGTGATGCGTCAACAAAAATATAGCTATGCGTCGAATCAAAATCAAATCATGAAGACGCAACCGCAATTGTTGTCACAGGCAAACGACGACGCAGTGGTTTCAACTTAATTATAGATACATAGTAGCGCAATGTGAAATTAAAATTAAAGCATCACAAAGATTTTGTTGGCATTTTCACAAAAAATTTGTTAAAATATGGAAATTTTTTATGGAGAAATCCACTTAGTAAAATTTAAGAATTATTTAGAACTCATGAACGTTTTCTTTCCATTGCAATTGTAGTAAATAACATTAAAAAAATAATAATAAATTATATAATAGTAAGCTATATCTATTGTTTTTATATTAAAACTTGAGTCAACTTGAACACTTTTAGATCTCTACCATTAAGACCTATAGAATCCAAAAGATCGTTCATGAGATGTGTATTTAAAGCAAAAAATATAATTCTCTCAGATAGCTATGAGAGAATTATCGATCTAGCTATTGTTAGTGTACGCTACTTACTACTGGTAATATAAAATCAGACCCTAATCCAATCTCAACATACCTCTAGATTCTTTTGAACTCAATGAAGATTCTAGTAATGGGAGCACTGCGTGCATACGGAGCCTTAAAAACGTCGACAAAGCAAAACTTGGGAGTACCGAAGAGCTGGCAGGAATGTTAAGAAAAATCCTCAATGAGTACGGGATAGCCAACATCAATTACCACATCGAAAACGAAAGGCAGTATTATACTCCTTTTCTGCAGGGATTTCAGGTTCATCAATAGGCATGACTCATAGGCAGATATACGATCCTAAAAGCGCACATAACGTAGTGCAAAGCGTATAAATATATGTATATTTTCAGTATTGGGTTTTTGCCACGCCCAGTAGAAGGTATAAATCTGAAGAACGGCGTGCCATTGGCCTACTCTTCATTGAGGCCTTCCTCTTCTTGCTACCACCAGCGGGTTCCAAGTTGAATATTTTCAGAGCTGGAGCGTTGGTGACCATTCGAACGACATGGCCAAACCAGCTGAGCTGTTGTATTTCAATCCGCTGCACGTAAATCTACCGCAAATTATTTCTCTCGAATACTCCAAGAGCCGCCTAATCGGATGTTTTCATAGTCCATGCTTTTGCGCCATATACCAGCACGTACATGATGAGTAACTTTTAATGTAATATAAATGTTTTGGGTGTAACAGAAAGGGGGACCGCGACCTACAAGTTCTGCTGTTTTATCCCTATGATGGTTCCTAAGCCTAACGGCCCAAGCTGTTATTAGCCTCCCTTATGAAAACTAAAAGTTTCTTTGTAGACGAAATCTAATAATACTTTTATGTTTTTTATTGCAATGTAAGCCATATTTTTATAAAAAATTTGCGGAAAAAATTTAATATAAATTGTTGCATTTATTGTGAAAAGTTCTCTGTACAAATTCTTTTTTCCGTTAGTGTACATGTTTATAATAAAGATTCGGATTCTAAGGGAAAAAAAACCTAACTTTCTTTGTTACTCGGAAGTGCCTTTTTCAACCTCTAATGACCTGCGAACTTCAAAGAAAGAATCCATTTCTTCCGGCCAGTTTAACTCACTTGTGGTCGAAAACGGTTATGCAAGAAAACCGCAACAAGTTCGCAAAAATTATCAGAATTAACGGTATTTTATAGGCACATGAAACTTTCACTTCATGCTGCTACAATTTAATGGGATGGCTTACTTACCTATGCTACCTTGTTATTAACATAGGCGTAGATACGTAGAAATGTATGCACCAAGTATAGGCACATACAATTTAGCAATAAATTAAAGTTCAGCTAAGCTGAATGAGCTAATTTTTGAATTTCACAAGCTTGTGTTTATTTTATTCACAGAACCAATGTGCAATGACTAAACATTTGCTATAATGGTGGTGGTAAACTCATATATCGTCATCTGAAATGCAAAAAGCCGTAACTAACAGTTAAAAAACAAATGTGTGGTGCATCATAATAAATCAATAAAATTTTGAATTTTTTTATTAGTTGCGGCCTCTTATATTTCAACAGGTGAAGATATGTATGTGTGTATATGTATGTATACGTATTTATTCACGTGTGGATATACAAACACTTTTGCATATTTATAGCAAGTACTTTCATTTACATATTACATTGTAATTACTGATTTAATTCTTTTTATATGAATAAGAAAAATGCCATGTATGATTAGCTGGAAACACAGTTTTTCTGTTCGTTCGCTTTATTCACACCCCCAGAACAAAGAACAAACACCGTATCTTACAAGTAAAGCTCGTACATTTTATGACTACTACTTCCTTTTATATGCAACTTTCATCTCTAAATTTTCTATGGTTAAATGCCAGGACCTGTTGTTGCTGTTGTATCTATCTTGTCGGTAGTATTTAATGTTCGGCTTCGCCGGATTTTAAGACTTCTTTATTTGTTTAAAATTGAGCTCTACGATCAAATAAAAAGATTTGACTTCAGTGATCCAATTTGGAAAAACTTATTTTAATTCAAAGTCCATTTCCCCTAAATGTTCAATGTAGCTACTTGAAGCTTTCACTGACTTATACTAAAATTTAATGGGCCATAAGACTGCGTACTCAAAATTCCATTTAATTTGAAAAATTAACAAGTAATTTTTAGCAAAAAAAAAACGACTTAAAAAAAATATATATATTTCATGATCCAATGATCGGATCTAAACCAGATTAAACCACCTCTGAGACACCACCTTTCCGATGCAGAAAGAATTATCGAAATCGGTTTACGTGGCCCAAAGTTATGCGGCAACATACATAAGAAAAAAAAATATTCCGACGAACTAACCTCCTCCTTTTTTTGGAGGTCGGTTTTTAGTGCATAATTTCAAAAATTCCAAATTTTGAGTTGTCGCTTTTGAAGACATAACCAGAATATCGTTGAATTGATTTAATATCAATTGCAAAGTTTTATACAGACAAGACTAAAAAGTAGAAAAATAAAATAAAGTATACAATTTTTAATATACCCCGTTTTTATAAATGGACTAAAAAGTAGAAAATAATTTTTCTCACTCCCTTAGAATTTACTTTTGATAACTTTTGATTTTGAAATTTAGCAATGTCATTACCTATAAACAATTTATGAGATTGAAATGAGAAAATTAATGCTTTTTATTATAAAATAAACAATACATTGATTGCAATTCGGACACACGGAGCGCCTATAAATATGTAATATTTTTGAAACACACTTCCAATTTTTATGTTAAAACTTTTTTTTCCCACAACACAATGCGATATTGATCATTACATTACGTACCTACCTTGTTTATGGGTGCGTTCAGAAATGCATCGAGCCAAAGTAGCAAGTCTCTTTTGTATCTAAACTATAATTCATGGCCTTTCTATTATATTAAAGTAACGATATGTATGTACATATTCACGCCGATTCTGATTAGAAACTCGCTGGGAGTTTTCTCTCCTTTCTCTTTCCTATGTGTCAAAATGCTATTTCGAAGTTCGAATTTCCTCCTCCCAAATTTTTGGGGAAAACGCTACACCCTGCGAGTTAATTATTGGAGGGTTTCCTCTCGGGAAAAAGAAATTTCCGAACAAACTCCCTGGGAGTATTCAGGATTGGACTGATTATGTAAAAATTCTCACCTCATTTGCATAGTATTTATGCACATATATCATTTGCAACAAAACTTGAAGCTCCAAATTACATCATTTTTACCAAATCTTTCGCAATAAAACTAACTTTTTGTTAGCTCATCCAACAAAGTGGAGTTTTATAGACCTTTATTGAAAATTATTTAGTAATGTTTACAATACTAGGGTATTGTTTCATCTGTGTGTAGCTGTAAATTGTTGATGTGTTTTACACAAATACGTGTATCTTCACGGATTTTGTACTTCGAGTTGCTGTTAAAATCTATGTATGTATAAAATTTGTGCTGTCCAAATTAAATGCACTTTTGATTCCACGAAATAAATCATAGAAATGGGGTGAAAGCTAAGGCGGTGAAAGCGAAATAAAAACAATAAAAATGCGCTGGTCAAACAAGTGGAAATAAACCGAGCGAGAGGAAATCAACTAACTGAAAAAAACAAATATTTTAATTCCCGTCGCTGTTTTAAATACAATACAATCCAATTTGAGTTTTTTGTTTTTTTTTTTTCTTTATAAAATAAGAATACAAAATTTTAGATTAAATTTTTTAAATAGTGGTTCCTTTTATATTATGTTTTTGAGTGTTCGTATGTATGTATATAAGAAGCAATAGTAGTCTTGTGCTCTAAACTCTACAGAGAAGAGATGGAATGAATTCCAACAAATAATTAAACATTATAGTAATAATAAAATTAAAGATACAAATGCTGTTTTGCTTAAAAAGATGTTCCGTATTCCTGCCGTCTTATATGGGAAATGGCTACTGTGCGATTTTATGTGCGTTGTGTATGTTCGCCAATTCCTCCATGTATTTTAATTAGACAGCGCCGAGGGCACACGTTCGTTTCCTACGAAACTCTTTTCGATGGAAGCAATGGAACTTTTGATTAACCATTAATGTTAGATTCAGTTGGAACACCGTTCCGCGTTTCTTGCTGTTATTGGTTTGTCGACTGTTACTTCTGCTGTTGGAATTTAGTAAGATGTTGTTGTTGCTATTGATTTTAATATTAAATAGTTGTTGGTCTTTATCGTTGTTAGAACGCAGCTACTTCTTGCCCTTGGTGGCCTTTTCGGCGGCCTTGGTTACCTTACCACCGGAGGCATCCTTGAAGTTCACACTCTTGATGACACCGACAGCGACAGTCTGTCTCATATCACGCACAGCAAAACGACCCAATGGGGGGAATTCTTGGAAAGATTCAACACACAATGGCTTGGAGGGAACCAAGTTGACGATGGCAGCATCACCAGACTTGATGAATTTGGGATTCTCTTCGGTGGTCTTACCAGAACGACGATCGACCTTCTCCTTGATTTCAGCGAATTTGCAGGCAATGTGAGCGGTGTGGCAATCCAACACTGGAGTGTAGCCATTAGCGATTTGACCAGGGTGGTTCAACACAATAACCTGGGCGGTGAAATCAGCAGCGCCCCTGGGTGGGCTAGCCTTTGAGTCACCAGCGACGTAACCACGACGCAATTCCTTAACGGAAACGTTCTTAACGTTGAAACCAACGTTGTCACCGGGCACGGCCTCGGTCAAAGCTTCGTGGTGCATTTCAACAGACTTAACTTCAGTGGTGATGTTCGCTGGGGCGAATACAACAACCATACCGGGTTTCAGCACACCAGTTTCAACACGACCGACTGGTACTGTTCCGATACCACCAATTTTGTACACATCCTGCAATGGCAAACGCAGGGCCTTGTCGGTTGGGCGAGATGGTGGAAGGATGGCATCAAGGGCTTCGATGAGGGTCTTGCCTTCACCGTTACCTTCCTTACGTTCGACTTTCCATCCCTTGAACCAGGGCATGTTGGTTGATGGTTCCAACATGTTATCACCGTGCCAGCCAGAGATTGGCACGAAAGCAACAGCAGCTGGATTGTAACCAATCTTCTTGATGTACGACGACACTTCCTTCTTGATTTCCTCATAACGAGCCTCGCTGTATGGTGGCTCAGATGAATCCATCTTGTTGACACCAACGATCAATTGTTTCACACCAAGTGTGAAAGCGAGCAGAGCGTGCTCACGAGTCTGGCCGTTCTTGGAGATACCGGCTTCGAATTCACCAGTACCGGCGGCGACAATCAACACAGCGCAATCGGCTTGTGATGTGCCAGTAATCATGTTCTTGATGAAATCTCTGTGGCCAGGGGCGTCGATGATGGTGACGTAGTATTTGGCAGTCTCAAACTTCCACAAGGCGATATCAATAGTGATACCACGCTCACGTTCGGCCTTCAATTTATCCAAAACCCAGGCGTACTTGAAAGAACCCTTGCCCATTTCCTGGGCCTCCTTCTCGAACTTCTCAATGGTACGCTTGTCGATACCACCGCACTTGTAGATCAAGTGACCGGTGGTGGTAGACTTGCCGGAATCGACGTGTCCGATAACGACAATGTTGATATGAATCTTCTCCTTACCCATTTTCCTTTCTTATGAGCTGTGCAACATAAATAACACATCGAGGGGTGGTGGTATGTTTTACACGTATTGGAAGGTTCATTGGATGATAAGCAGGTATTTAGGTGAAAAGGAAGAAAACAAAAAGGGAAAACAAATCTTTCGTTAGCAAACACTATTTGGGACTAGTAAGATATATTAGCATTAATATTAAATATATAAGTATGAGGTATTCATGTAGGCATTTTTTTAAATACAATTTGCAAAATTAGGGCCTGTTCGAGGCACGTCATAAAAGGGGCAATACTGCAGCACTGATGAAAATTTGCAATACTACGTTCATAATGCGCGCATCACTGCGGTTGTGATTGCATCTCGAACAAGCCCTTAATGTGTTATACTTTTACAAAAGTAAATAAGGTAAACTTTTTTTTAATTATGAAATGGACATACATATGTAAATGCACTCACTTTTTCAGTCTGAGGTCAGTAACAACAAAATATTCGTTTACCGATGAATCTGCAATATGAGGCATCGGCATCGGCAACGAACACAAAACTACAGTCCGAATAGCCCTGCTACTTTGCTGAAGAACATAACCTCAACCTGACAACGTGGTTGCACACATGTTGCTACGTACTTGAAAATTAAGGTTAAATTTTCCCATGCCAACTTTGGTATAAAATGAATTACAACTTGTTCATTGGGAAGTGAAAGTAATGTGGAAAATGCAAAACATGCAAAAGACAATTTTCTTTGATTAATATAAGTATTTTGCAAATTGTTCAAAGATAGTCAGAAGATAATCGTTTTCGAGGCTTTATCAGTGGTTTTGGTATTTTTTTTATCGTCAAAATTATTCAGTAGCAGAACTGATAGAAGTCATCATGAAAGACTGGAAAACGATTACTTTTGTCAGGTAATCGAAAAAAAATGTGCATCTGGAACGAAATGGCAGTAGTTCGTGGAATGTACATAAATTACTCAAATTGCATGCGTCATCATCGTACGATTTGTGTAATTTATTATGGCTTAGGCGATATTAATAATCATATCAATTTTAAGTTAAAAATTGCAAATACCGGCGTTCTAGGGTCGCAAATGCAACTCCAGATATCAAAAAATTTCCAGTAAGCGGCACGAAAAAAAAACCCGAGTCGGTAAAAACTCGATGACCTAGCGGCCATCTTGGAAAATTTATACACCGAAAATGAAAATTATAGACACCGAGCCAGAATTTATTAACTACCCCCAATTTTAAATTAGTTTAATGTTGTGCAATTAAATACGAATATTATCGATTTCTAAAACATATGGCAAAATTCACTTGGTTAATTTATTTCAACTTCGGAACTGGCGCCGCCATTTTGAATTTTTCATCGAGTAGAGAAAACTCCGCCCAGCCCCTCCGGAAACCGTTCTGGAAAAGCTAAATCAACTCATTAATAATTTCCTTTGCAATTCTTAGATTTCAAAAATAGCGCATCCATTTTAAAGCAGCCAATGAATGAAAAATTACTAATAAAGACTATCCACGCCACGTGTTTTCAATTTCTAATCGGCGTACCACTTTTCTTCACTCCTGCCGACATATGCATTCCACACTTTTGCTGCCAAGTCACCCTCATTACACACTTCCGTCGAACATTCCGATTTCAAATGCACAATTATTTTTTTGTTTACTGGTGGTAAACAAACAAATATTTTTGTCACTTTATCCAGATACACACTTGTTTATTCGAATTGCACCTCACTTGTTAAATTTTTTTGTTTTACAAAATTACAACTTACTTTTTGAAAAAACTGAATCGAGAAATCACAGAAGTCTATGCTGATCCGCCAACAGACTTGAACAAAGTGAACGAGAAACTCGTCGTGAACGAAAGATATGCCCCGCTTCGTCTTTCCAATGACACGTTGGTGTAAGGGCTGCCATTGCAGGTTTTACATTCCATAAAAGGTACTAGTAACTTTCAAATATTTTAAATTAATTTTTATAATGGTTCTTCGTTGTAGACTATGCGTAACAGTACTTTTCGCTAACATCATTGTTATATTTCATAGAAACAAGTCTTATATTTGATATAACCATTTCTACTTATATTGGTCTCATCATAACTTTTATTATAATTATTTTATTATACCAATGTGGGTGTTCACACTTGCCTGGTTATCGGGTTCCAAATTACTGTTCTGTAACTGCCGTCCCTAAATTGGCGCGTTAAGCGCCAAACAACTGCCAAATGCTCATTGAAATATAAGTTCATAATCCAAGCTCCTTCATCTTTTGTTTATAATTGTGATAATTTTTTGTTATTGAACACTACTTTTTAAATGCAAAAGTACCCAAAATTGCGCCTCTGCATTGGAACCTCCGAGCTTTCCAACTGGAAGTCTAAATATATTCTCAATGTTGGTATGACTTTGAAGGGTGACACAAATGCGAACAACATTTTATTAACTAATCTACTTATCTTCCACTTCCGTTACAATACCACCCAACAGACCTTATCACCAAAGAACGTAAACCTATAAATTGCCTTCTTTGGTTTCACTTCTTCCGCGCGTAGGGACTACACGCACTGAGTTTTTTGCTGAGTGACATTTTTTAATTCGAAAAAAAAATTATAATTAGTTTTTCAATTTTTACTTTACGTTATTCCTGCAGCTAACCACTCTGCAAACGGTGTTGGGGGGAAGCTAATGGTCTGATTAAGCATATTTCGAATAACTTCGCACAACTTCAAACGCATAAACTTCAAACTGCAATTTCGTATGTATTTTGTATGTATTCCATTACCCAGAAATTAGAACTTTTAAAAACTTTGCAGAAATTACCGCTACCTCTCCTCTATGCACCATTGAAGTATGTATTTATTTAAAATATGTGCATATTATGCACATATGTATGTGTATTAAAAATGCGAGTATTTAAACCAAACCATTTTTATTGCATAAAAAATCTTAAACTAGAAAATAAAAGCAGTCACTTCATTTCCAAAAAGTAACTTCCAAGACACAGGAACCGTCAACTTTATAGCGTTGTCCCCTGTTTCTAATTGCAAAAAGGTCGAACACAAATCATTCAACTCTCGTACAATTAGAGTGGCATCTGTCGAATTATCGCCTTCCAATACATAACGAAATAGTAACATTACAGGTACTTGCTTTTCTTGCAATAAGCGGAACAACTGCAGTCCATTACCACCACCAAAAATAATCTCTCCTTTAAATTCCATCCACTGTACATTCGCCAACTGGGCTTCATGACTTTTGCGGAATGCATCAGAAACACAGTACTCATATGGAGATGTTCCAATTTCCCGTTTCTCAAATCCAAAACTAGCACCAAGTATTACTACCCTTTGGGCCTGCTGCACTAACTCAGCTAAATAATTATGCAAACTCTGTGCATGACGGGATATCAGTGGTGTTCGAAATTGTATGACAATCAATTTATTGTTGGCACATTCATATATTTCGCAGGCAGCTACTCTTTCGTCCGGCTCATGTTGGTAAGCTGAAGGGCCAAAGACTGGAATCAACGCTGGATGCATGAGGCTTCCCACTCGTTTCATCTTCTTGGACGCAATCAACAAGTCACACGCCAGTTGAGCGGCATTTCCTACACATATACTGGGTATTATGACCGTGCAGTTTTTTACGTCCAGGCAATCTCTATTTTTTAATTGCAGCATAGTCAAATAGGATTATTGTAAACAAAACAATATTCAGCTCGGTAATATTTGAAAGTAATGCTAGCTCTGTTTGATTTCGTCCTACAAACGACAGCTGTTAACGAATTGCCACTCAATTCAAATTGGATATAGAAATGTCAACCACTATAGGGCAGAGATGGAAGAGTAGGTACAATTGTACCTTTTTCTGACTTTATTAACCAAAAGTACATTCGGACAATAAGCTAAATTTAGGTTCAATTAGACGATAGCCAAATAAATATATATATTTAAGGCTACGTTGCTCGGGAAAAAATTAAAAAAAAAAAAAATGTTTGTAAACAAGGACAAATGGCAACTCATATATCATTGTGAACATATCATTGTGGCAACAAGAAATCTTTGCAGAGGCCATGGCACAATATGCCTTGCCAGAGGCCAAGTTCCATTATTAAATTCTTTGCGAACAAAGAGCAAAACTCCTCACCTTTGGAGGGATTTCTAGCAAAGTTGTTACACTGCATGTGTGTCAATTTCAATTGTGAATGAGTTGAAAGTGCGGAAGTACTTAAAGGGGGAAATATTTTGACCCAGTTCAGATGGCCTCTTTAAGTAAAGCTTGTTGATTAACTTCCACTATTCATTTCCAGATCATACATATTGGAAAAATTTGCATGGATCAGTGAAAAAGTGTACATGTATTGCTATTGTCAAGACAGTATTGTCTGGTGTAAACCCTAAGTTACATATAAAAATCGTCAACACATAAAAAAAAAAAAATAACGGAACCAGGAAGCTCTTTAAATTTTTTTATTTTATTTTAGCTTCTGATTGCTATACGTAAATATTAAAAGGTTAACTTTTAAAGAGTTTTTGAAATCCGCATTACTTTTAACAAAAATATTTTTAATTACAATATAATCACAGTTTCATCTTAATTTTTTTCCTACTGCAACTAAACGATTTGCATTAAAAACTGTTCATACTTACAAGTTTTGCTAAAGAACTTACCGCAGATCTCCACAGGCAAACACCGATGGCCTACTGTCATTTTGACGAGCAATATGATTGCAAGTTTTTGTGTGTGGGCTCTTTGATGTGCTGAAATAAGCATTTGCCGCGTGACTCCACCAGACAGCATTCTCTCAATTTCGGTGTTTAAAAACATTTAAATCTTAAAAAAACTTGCTGAATAATTTCATAAAACGCAATCGTACATAATCCAGTAGAGAACAGATTCTATATTGATTTAATATCAAAATTTCATCCATGCTACCACCTTTCTTTCAAATGAAAATATAGCTGTCAAACTATCAAATTGCCTACATAGATGTCAAGCAATAAGCGCTGAGATATATTGCAGCCCATGAGAAATAAGCGGTCTTCATTGGAAATATATTTTGTGACATGGTTATCACGACATCAGTGTTTTCCTGTGAAGACAGGGTCTTATTCATAATTCCCTAATTCCAAATAGTTATGAAACAAAGAATAAAACTACTTATCGATATAAGAGCTGCCACGTGATATAGACGCGACACGACACTACACAGCGCGGCAAAATATTCTTTGCATGGATTCTTATGGAGCATACCGCACTACGCTGAAGCGGAGCTACGCGACGCGACGCTGCACGGCAAAGTTGACCAACTAGGCAAAAATGTCGCGCCGCGTGGTGTCGCGCAGTTCCGGTGCCGCATAGTGAGGTATACCCAACGGAACGACATAACATTTCGTAGTATATATTTATAGCCCAATTCTGTATCGGTGACAAAAATTTGTTACTGACAAATTTAAACTTTTTCATAGATTTTTCCGTAATAAAGACTGTGACAAGAATTTGTCAGTGATACAGAATAGAGCCGTAAACTTGAAGAAATTGGATTTTAACATTACATCAGCGTCACTGGCATTCATCTTGTTTGATGTCTTTGACACAAATAAATTAAAACTTTTGCAGCGAAGTGCCGCGCCGCTGCAGTTTCAGTGCGATATACCACTAGCAGAAAAAAATCTTCAAAATGACGACCAAATGATCGAACTGGCAACACTCGTTGGGAAGTTCACGAGCTAGTTAGTTCAATGCACTAGGTCATTGAGTTGATCGAACGAACTAGTTCGAAATTTTAAATGAGTTAAGCTGAAATTAGTCGAGAACGCAGAACGTATACTTAAACGCAGTCTGTATACGCAGAATTTTGTCGATTACTGGTGCCCTCAGTGTTGCTTACTACACTGTTGCCACTCATCAATGCCTTTTCATAAACTTACCCTTTCAACTACAATTTTTCGTGCTATAATAGATTTTAGCTAAATATAAACTACTTAGTTTTCAACAAAAAACTTTATTCAATAGTAAATTTCAAATATTTTAAACGTATTTTGAAAAGGAAATTATACCTTTTTTACCATTTGCGAAACTGACGAAGTGGCAACCATCTATAGAAGGAGGAAATCAGATGACACGGAAAAATCTAAATTCCGCAGATTTCTGCGCTACGGGCTACAACTACAGAAAAATTCTGCGGTGTTGAGATTTCATTTACATGGCGCTCTGGTAAGACAGATCGTGTCAGCTGACTCGGGTTTACGTACCGGTAGGTTTACGTTCTTGACTAATTTCAGCTTTATTTCGAGCCCTAACCGCCAAAATAACGTAAGCGACATTTTTTTCAAAATTTTCTTTTTGATGCAGAAATATTCCTAGAGCTTCTAGATACATTTCTGCATCAAAAAGAAAATTTTGAAAAAAATGTCACTTACGTTATTTTGCCGGTTCGGGCTCGATTTGCTCCAAGTTGCCGTTTTTTAATTTTACTTATATTCATTTATACATACACAATATACATAAATCCGAATTCAAGACTTTCGGCAAAAATTAAAAAAATATTCTCTACAAAGTTTCATTAGAATCGAAAACTTTTTAGTTACAATTTCTAGATATTATCTGCGTACCAGACTACGCATGTTTAAGCATTCTTATTTTATTTATATCTTCTTTTTTCATATAAAAGCATCTGTGCGACATCTAATATATAAAAATCTCGTGTCACGGTGTTAGTGGTCGAACTCC